GAAAGCCCACGCACAGCAACAAAGACCTAGCCAAACCAAAAATAAATATATTTAAAAAAAAAGAGAGAGAGAGAGTCAGAAGGAGCACTACAATCAGGAGAAGAAAAGCAAGGAGGTAGGGAATGGGAAAAAGGAACAGCATCCTGAGCTCAGGCAATGATCTGAAATGAGACAGCAGCTCGTCCAGCAGTAGGTAGCCACAACACAGGAGGCCAACGTCAGAACCTATGGTCTTGTTACCAAGCAAGGGCCCATACAATGGCACCAGCTTTTGAAAAAAGAAAGTGCTTTGTTGTGAGGTTGACCAGCAAGAAGACAGGAGGCAAGCCTCTCAAATCTGTCTCTGAGATCCAGGGATCAAGGTGGATCTTAAAGGGTTAGGAGAACTGCAAACTTGGAAGCTGATTGGCTATTCTCCAATCAGTCTATATAAACTACTAGTACTTCTGGAAGCCAAGTTTTCCTTACTGAAGGACTTCTTGCTTCATAAAGGGCTCTGGGGGCAACATTATTATTCTTTGAGTTCCAGAGACTGAAGATTCTTGGCCCAGGGTCATCTTGAAGACCAAAGTTTCCATCCTGCACATGCACAATGCTGTCTCTATAAAATAACTGCAGATTTGATTGATCAACAACCTGCTTTAAGGAAGCAAAACCAGTTTAAGCTGGTCAGTATTTCACGTGCTGTTTTGGTCATACTTTCCAACAACAGATGCTTAGATGGTCAAGGTAGGCAGCGAACATGACCAGTGCATCACTGTGTGTCCCGCATTGTGCCAAAAGAGGGCATAACACACAGCCGTGCCCTGGATGCCCATGGCATTGCTCTACCAGAGGCAGGTACCAGGAACTGGGAGCAGGGCTGAGGAAGCTGTTTGTGGGGGTGAGAAAAAGCTTCACAGAAGAGATGACACCTGAGATGGCCTTGGAAACAGAGGAACTCACTCACCTGGCAGGAAAGGGAGGCAGAGAGAAAATCTGAGCTGAGTCAGAGCGGTAGAAACCCACCAAGGTGTATGCCTGAGAAATGGAAAGAGGCCCTCTATAAATTCCCAAGGCAAAGAAATTGTTACATTCTCCCCGACTCCTGCTTTCATTCAAAGCTGAGATTATGTCTTTTAGGGGATCTGGTTTTCAGACCATACTTACCTGCAATCATATAGTCAAGGCTCAGCCAGGTTCACCCCAGCTCCTGGTCTTTTGATGACAGAATTCATTCCAGGTTTCATCCCCCTGCCCTCAGCCCCAAGCATCCACCCTTATAGGTCTCTTTTCCACACTAGGATTCCAAATTACAGAATTTTGTCAAGCAGTTTCTTTGTCTCCAAATCAGTTTTATAATCATAATTCAAATGAGGAGTTCCTTGTCTTATAAAGTGAACAGAGTTAATTACTTGAGACGTTCAGGAGAGCTGCATTTGAGCTGAGGGACCCACCAAAGCAACTCCCGTTAGCATATTTAACGGGTGTTTCTTTGAAGCTTGGAACTTTTTTCAACCTCACAGAACCTTTATAGTGTTGTCCTTAAAGCTACTCATTTAATTTTAATTAACAACAAACTTAGCAGGTTTTAAATAACAGTTTGTAAAAGAAAACTGGGGTGGAGAAACTCCAAATCCACTTCTTAGGATAAGCTGAGGAATCATTAAGTCCTTTCCAACAATTGTTAGACAGTTAATTAGAATAAGTATAGCTTTCATCTCTTCCCTTCTGTATCATCTTCAAACTGCAGCTTAAGGGTGCAATGCTGAAAGGACACACAGCCTGAAGAGCATTGTTAAGTATATTAAAACCACCACAGCCCCCTCCACTTGGGATGATTTCAAGTCATTTATAATATGGATGGTGTGTCTATTAAAGCCTGGCTTATAACTAGTAACAGGATGGTGGGATTTATTGCTTTACCTGAATTCAAAGTGTGCCCCTTTTTTTGTCTGCTCCAACCCAACCCTTGAGGAGTGACTAAAAAGATCAGAAGATCCCACCAGAGTCAGTGTTGAAATACCTTCCTGAAGGTTTAAGCCAATCTTCATTCTTATAAAGTAGGTCATTTAGCTTACATGGTGGCTCAGGTGGTAAAGAATCTGCCTGCAATGCAAGTAGAACTGGGTTTAATCCCTCGGTCAGGAATATCCCCTAGAGAAGGGAATGGCAATTCATTGCAGTATTCTTGCCTGGAGAACTCTATGGACAGAGGAACCTGGTAGGCTATAGTCCATGAGGTCGCAAAGAGTCAGACACGACTGAGCAACTAATACACACACACACACAATCATTCTTATTTCCTAACAACTGTCTGTGCTTTCCTAATGGCTTAAAGGTTAAAGGATCTTCCCGCAAAGCGGGAGACCCAGGTTCAATCCCTGGGTTGGGAAGATCCCCTAGAGAAGGAAATGGTAACCCACTCCAGTACTCTTGCCTGGAAAATGCATGGACAGAGGAGCCTGATGGGTTACAGTCCATGAGGTTGCAGAGTCAGACACGACAGAGCAACTAACACTTTCAATTTCACTTTCAAAGACTGTCTAGTTCTAACAAATTTAATTCCTATTCTATCTTATGTGTTTTAAAGATGTTCAAAAGGAAACTTAAATAACTTTAAATGTCCCAGATCCCAGAGCTAAGCAGATTCAACTTCTAGATCTTTTTGAAACTGTCCAGGGCATCCATACAGGTGTATCTTTTCATTCCTGTCACTCATCCTGAGAGACCAAGGGTAGAAGTATTATATCTTGCATCTATACTGGTTATCAAACCCCAAGCACTTCCCATTGCCTCTGTTCCTTCTATCTCTGATGCTGACCCAAGGGTTACAGAAGGAGATCTATTCCCAGACCTATTTCCAAGAAGTCAGTACACAATGATTTAAATACACTTTAATTCATCCTTCAGTGTACTGAGTCACAAAATTTTGGAGCTGAGAAGGATCTCAGAGGTTACCAATTTCAAACTTTCCATGTTACAGATTAAAAACAACTAAGCCTCTGCAAAGATAAGTGCCTTTCTCAAGGCCACACAGCTAATTAGTAAAAAAATTAGGCAAATAACCACTGATTCTGAGTAAGATGTTCTGAGTCCTAGGTGCTTCATGTTTCCTCCAAATATCAGCATCATCAAGAGCCTGCTAGAAATGCAAAATCTTGGGCTCCCTCCCTACACTCACTGAATCAGAATCTGCATGGTCACAAGATCTCCAGGTAAACCCTAGTACATTGAGAATCACTGGGCTAGACTATCACGTATCTTTCTCCAGAAAGCACAAGGATTGGAGACAAGCAGACATGGTTCCACCTTTTCTAAATGTGAGCAAACAGCTCAGTCTCCTAAAAGCATCATTTGTAGCCTGGAAATAACAGCATTATCTACCTTGAATGGTTTTCATAATAGAAGCATCACATAGATATCGGCATACACATTTCATGACACATACATAGATAAAATATGCAAATTGCCTGGCATGTAGTAGCTAATATGGTGTGTGCATGCTCAGTCACTTCAGTCATGTCTGACTCTTTGCAACCCTATGATCTGTAGCCTGCCAGGCTCCTCTATCCATGAGATTCCTCCAGGCAAGAATATTGGAAGGGTTGCCACGCCCTCCTGCAAGGGATCTTCCCAACCCAGGGGTAGAACCCAAGCCTCCTGTGTCTCCTGCATTGCAGGTGAGTTCTTTACCCGCTGAGCCACTGGGGAAGCCCAGATATAGTATATAGTACTTACCATTTCCAATCTCATGCTTACCAATAATATTATGATCAACCTAAAGGAAATCCATGAGTGACCACGCATCCATGAAGGAATTACCTTGCTTCCTTTTCTCTATTTGTTAAATATCATTTTAACTTTTATATATGTGACTAAGAGTGTTACGATATTTCATATTTCTAACTTCAAAATGAAAGAACTAATCCCCAAACTGTGTTATAACCAAAAGAACACAACAGTCTTCTAACATCTTGACTCCAGATCCTATAAACGTGGCCCTTAGGAGCAGTGAATATCTGCTGCCACCCATGCCATGATTTTCTCAGAGACTCAACTGCAAGGGATGAACCTTCAGCTTTGGCAACACTTGAACACATTTAAAAGATGATCTCTCGTCACTAACGTGTCACATCTGTCAGCCTCAAGGAAAAGAGCTTGAAGAGGAACAGAGGAATAGAACCAACCCTGAACCAAAACTTTTGAAAAATATAGAATGCTAAACTGGACCAAATATAGAGAGTTCCCTGGTGGTCCAGTGGTTAGGACTTGGTGCTTCCACTGCAGGGGACACAGGTTCAATCCCTGGTTGGGAACTAAGATCCCACATGCTGTGGGATAAGTAAATAAGTAAAACTCCACCAAATTATATTTTCGAAGGAGATATCTTGGAGGGAATATGATAATAACATCAATTAGAAAGCATATTTCCCTAAAGCAGTGCCTCTTCATCCTAGCAATGCATTAGAAACAACTAAGAAGCTTAAAAAAAAAAAAAAAAACTGAATGCACATTTTTGAGGGAGAGATCCAGGCTTCAGTAATTTTTAAGATCCCCATTTGACTTAAATGTGCAGCCAGGGTTGAGAACTGCTGCCCTACAGCAAGAGAAACCTGGTCTTATTTAAGATGGTCAATCCACCAAGATTTATTGATGCTATTGATACAGAGGGGTTACCTAGGTGGCACTAGTGGTAAAGAATCTGCCTGTCAATGCAGAAGACATAAGAGACATGGGTTCAGTCCCTGAGTTGGGAAGATCCCTTGGAGGAAGGCATGGCAACCCACTCCAGTATACTTGCCTGGAGAATGCCATGCGCAGAGGAACCTGGCAGGCTATAGTCCAGGGTGTCCCAAAAAGTCAGACACGACTGAAGCGACTGAACAGGCATTGATACAAAGTTCCCCAAACTTTAAGTAATGGCTTTAAGTTCAGTGTGTATCTCTTCTAGGTCTTTTCGCCACTCCTCCAGGACTTCCACCGTAAGGAAAGGAGCACCTGGACCAACATCCTCTAAGATGTTTATATGGACCAGTGGCCGGACTTCTTCATCTTACAGACATGATGAAAAAAGGTAAATCACTGGGACTCATGGGGCTTTTTGGAATCATTTAACCAGAATACACAGAAAGCCCACCAATGAGAAAGCATTAGGCAACTGAGCTTTCTATTTTGCGAGTGTTAAGGTAGGACGGGCTCTGTGTTGAAGGAACAGGGTTTCAGACACTTTGGCCTTCTCCTTGTAGTCACCAAGCTCACTCCTGCTACATGGCTTTGCAAAAGCTGTTGCCTGTCAGAAATGCCCTTTGGTGGTGGTGGTTTGTGGTGGTTTAGTCGCTAAGTCATGTCTGACTCTTGCGAACCCATAGACTGTAAACCGTCAAGCTCCTCTGTCCATGGGATTTTCCAGGCAAGAATACTGGCGTGGGTTGCCATTTCCTTCTTCAGGGGATCTTCCTGACCCAGAAATTGAACCCGGATTTCCTACATTGCAGGCAGAATCTTTACCAACTGAGCTATGAGGGAAGCCCCAAATGCCCTTTACCCCTTCACTTATACATACATTGGTCTCTTGGCTACTTCTATCTCTGTCTTCGGATACCCATTCAGTCAAACCTCCCAATATCCTCTTGACCAGCACGGAATTTGTGTTTTAGTCTCCCTTGAATTTTCACCTCCTACAGCCATACCTGACACATAGTAGATGCTCAACAAATACTGAGCTGAAATGATGAAAATTCTTCAAGGCTTTGGACATACGGCAGGGAAGGAAAGCAAAAACTAAGAGAGAATGAAAAAAGGATGGACAAGTCCAGGGAGCCCTCAAACTCCTTGGAAAAGTTGGCACCCTCCTGGCATTGGGGAGAAATGGGGAGGGGAGTAAGCAAAAAGTTTAAAGGGCAAAGGCAGTGTTAATGAAAGACAAAATGACAATTATTCAGTCCAACCCAGTCTTCTGCCTTGGAAATAAATGCATTCGCAAACTTCTCTAGCCATTTTGAACATTTGATTTCTCTTTTTTCTTCTGTGTCTTTTTCTTATTGACCTAGTGCTATTTCTTGGGTGTAGTGAAGCTAAATTTTAAACACAACTGCCTATACAAATATATTACAACTTAAGCAAGGCTCATTTGCCTGCAGAATCTGATAAAAATTGATAAATGGCATTGGGCACAAGAAAAAGGACCTGCAGGAGGTTTACTTGAGTATAAATTCTAATAACTGGTACTTCTATTTTTCCTTTTGAAAATGTATATTTCCCTACAGATAAAATTCTTTTAAAATTCTAAAAGAAAAATTGCTCCTCACAATGATTTTGTATTACAGCAAAAGTTTGGAAACAACTTTAATATTCACAATAGAAAAACTGTTAAATAAATCATAGAATGTAATATGTCACTTAGCAGCTCAATTTGTTTGAGCATAATATTAACTGACAATTCAAGCTGAAAAATTGCATGCAAACTATAATTGCAGCCACAAAAAAATACACATGGGAAAAAGCCTGGAATTAAAAGTATGTTTTCTAGTCCTCCATTTTCCAAATGCTTTATAATGTTATATTATCTTAATTATGGAAAAAATAATGACATGATGTTTAAGTAAAATTAAAGCTCAGAAGGCAACTAGTGTTTGATCAAAGTCTTGGTACGCATCATAAGAGAAGCAGATCAACTGAAAATTTTCTGTCTTTGTTCATCACTAGGTTTTCACATGCTTTTTCTCAGTGCTTAATCAAGTTATTTTTCATTTGCTTTCAGGTAGCTTAGCTGAATCATCTTTCAGCAAAACCTTTACTATAAGACTGAAATTTCATGTATTATTTTTAAATTCCATATTTTGTATAAAATTTCCTCATTTCTTAAAAAAAAAAAAAATGTCACTACCAGTGATGGTGTGGAAGGCAGAGTTTTCAGTGCCCTATAGGAATACTGTGACTGTCATAGGCAGTCTTCAGAGTTTGAAGGTTTTATCAGAGCAGGTGGAAGCATGATGCATTTGTTTCACCTTTCATTTATTCTCATTGAGTAACTTAATTAAATATATTTTGCTGTCTATATAAATTTTACAAGCAAAAGGATTAATATTTAAGAAGCAATTACTCTGCACTACATGTTTTCATAAACTGTCTCTTCTAATTTATAAGATAAGGATTATGATGCCCATTTTACAATTGAGGAAGCTGAAGATAAGAGAGTTTAAACTTCCAAGAGTCCAACAACTAGCTAGTGATTGAATCAAGATTTAAACCCAAGGTTGTACTCTGTCCCCTTCACCCTATGGCTTACCCAGGCCCTTATCAAACATGAGACAGTCAGAGCAGCAGTGAACAGCCAAGCCCATAGGGGGGAAAAGTGTCAAAATAGAGTTGAAAATTGTGTATCAAAGGAGATAATAAATATGCTAACATGATATATTGGCTATATTTGTGGAATTAAAAGGAACAAATAGTTAGCTTCATATTCTGCACAAATAAGATTCTATAAAACTCTTAAATCACTACTTTCATGGTTTTATTTCCAAAGCATGATTTCAATAACCATGGGATTTAAAATAATTAAAATATTGACTATAAATAAATCATTTTCAGCAAGCTTTATTTATGGGATGAGGATGTCAAGGTTTATGAAATCAATCTGAATGACTTTGGCCTACAAAGTTAAAGACAAATGGAACAACAGCCAAAGAATGGAGCAATAGAATCTGGTACTATGCCAGTATCCTTAGTTTGATGTTGGTTCATTTGTCTGTACCTCTTTCTTGACCACATCTCCATCTTCACTGCCTAATTCACAGACTCTTATAGGACAAGATTCAAACAGCATGACTTTAAACAGCAGCTATTGCTCTGCTTAATTCTCTTGGCGACAGTAGTCATGGTGATAAGGAAGGCAATGATGGCTGATCATAAATCTAGATAATCAAGATCTTCAAGTTAATTATTTGGAAATAAATTAACTAGGTTATCTGGAACTACTGCCCATATCTGCTTGTAATAATTCCACCCTAGTTTCTTATCCTGAAAACCTGGCCTCTATACATCCAGCTTCTCCAGCTGTGTTCCCCCTGACAATCCCAGGGGCCAGGTACTCCACACTGCCTGTTCTGAGACCAAAGCAAAACCTGTCAGGATATCAGCTTCTCTAGGATCCCTCAAGAGATAGAACATCAAGAAATAAGCTTATGGTTAGGCAGAGCATCTAAGTGGAAGGAAAAGTCCACTGAAAATTTTGAAGCCTAATTTTTATGGTTCAAAGGAAGCTGAAGTCAACTTTACACTTTTCCCAAAAATGTAAATTTTTTAAATTATTTTAATTCAAAGCCAGTCCTGTTTTTGTGATCATCTGCTATATGCAAAATACTGGTTTCTATCCTTGTGCTCCATTTCACATGCCCAGCAATGTGAAGGAATAGTTTTCCTTCTTTGATCAACTTTCTTTGTTAGGTGAGCCAATGTTATTCTCTAAATTGCAGGAAGCAAAATAAAGTTTTGCTTTAAATAAATAAAGCTATAGCAAAATAAAGCTACAGCAGTAATAACTATTAGAGAGAGGTTATTGACTAAGTATATTACCACTGAGTTCATAAAATATTCTTTGGATTGTTTCTATTAAATGCTGAATTAATATAAAGTAACATGTATCACATGTTAACATACAGAGAGGGCTTTCCAGGTATCGCTAGGGTAAAGAGCCTGCCGGCTAATTCAGGAGACATAAGAGACGCGGGTTCAAACCCTGGGTCATGAAGATCCCCTGGAGGAGGGTATGGCAATCCATTCCAGTACTCTTGCCTGGAGAATCCCATGAACAGAGGAGCCTGGCAGGCTACAGTCTGTAGGGATGCAAAGAATCAGACACAATTAAAGCAACTTAGCACACACGCAAAGCATACAGAGAATGATGACAAAATAAACATCTGAGGACCCTTCACTAAGATTAAAAAATAAAACAACTGGAATTTTTGAAGCCCCTGAGGATGCTTCCTAAACAGCATCCCCCTCCCTACTCCAGCCCCCACCCAGAGATAAACCACCCTCCTGTTTATTATTCCCTTGCTCTTCTTCATGAGTTAATCACATCTGAATGCTTAAACAATACATTGTTTACTTCTGAATGTTTGAAGACTTTATACAAATGGAAACATACCATATGAATTGTTCTGCAGCAGACTTTTTTCACCAAACATGATCCCATGATTTATCAAGTTATCGGTGCTGATATGAATAGGTGTAGCTACTCATTTTGTCTGCTGTGTAGTATGCCATTATATGAAGATACCACCATTTATTCATCCAGTCTACTGCCCAAAGATATTAGTGTTATTTGCAGTTTTGTACTGACAATGCTGCTGTAATATTTCTTGTGCATCTGCCTTTGTACATATACACAAATATTTCTTAGGTTGTACACCAATGGAAAGAGTTGGTTCAAAAGTATGCACAGCTTCTACTTCACCATGCAATGCCATCGTTTTCCAAAGCAGTTGTAGATGTGATTCCATTGCTCTAGAGTTTGGGGGTTTTCAGCTCAGTTCGGTTCCTCAGTCATGTCCGACTCTTTGTGACCCCATGGACAGTAGCATGCCAGGCTTCCCTGTCCATCACCAACTCCCAGAGTTTACTCAAACTTATGTCCATTGAATCGGTGATGCCATCCAACCATCTCATCCTCTGTTGTCCCCTTCTCCTCCCACCCTCAATCTTTCCCAGCATCAAGGTCTTTTCAAATGAATCAGTTCTTCACATCAGGTGGCCAAAATATTGGAGTTTCAGCTTCAGCATCAGTCCTTCCAAAGAATATTCAGGACTGATTTCCTTTAGGATGGACTGGTTGGATGTCCTTGCTGTCCAAGGGACTCTCAAGAGTCTTCTCCAATACCACAGTTAAAAAGCATCAGTTCTTCAGTGCTCAGCTTTCTTTATAATCCAGCTCTCACAGCCATACATGACTACTGGAAAAACTGTAGCTTTGACTAGACAGACCTCTATTGGCAAAGTAATGTCTCTGCTTTTTAATATGCTGTCTAGGTTGGTCATAACTTTTCTTCCAAGGTGCAAGCATCTTTTAATTTC